TTAATCCAGCGCATACTCAAGCGGCTCGTTTAGGGCGCACAGTCCGCTGCATCACAACCCAACTCAAGCACTAGTGACTGCCGAACCCAGCTCGGGATAGATTTCGTCCACTTCGAAGGTCAACATCACAGATCAACTGATCTCGGGGATGTGTGTGAAATAGGTCCATTCTGTTTGATTGCTGTAGATTCCATTGCTGTGACTACAGGAGAATGTGTAAATTGACTCTCTCAATATTCAAGTAGCAAGGAAAACCCTTAAATGCAGGTGTAAAATATATGCTCTTTGTATAATTCGGCGCACGTAACAGCCTTGAAACTTTCTCCGTTGGATAGATATTTGTCGATTTATTCTTGGTTAATGGCGGAGTGACATAGAACTTTACGTTGCTGATAAAGCTGTGGTTTTGCCTGTCAAAGCAAGCGATACAATGCCTAGACTGCCTTTTATGAAATGTAATAAAACCGTCTAGCAGAAAAAAATGTGGAACGCTTGAACTGAATAGTATTCGAGGACTACAAGGTCCAAGGTCAAAACGCAGGACTTTCTCTGGTGGAGTTTGGTTATGGCTGATTAAAGATGGCTATTAGGTCAGAAATTGTCATTCCTCTTTTCCTCTTGCTCTTTTTACCACTGAAATCAACAAAATAAAATGTTCTGTTTTTCAAATTTTAGACTCTTCTCTCGCAGACACTTGCTTTCAGGAATTAACTGACCCATTTCATAATTTTTTTGCGCCGTCCAGATTTTGCACAAACGCAGCAGCATTTATAGCGAACAGGTACCTTGTGAAACGTTGGAACTTAATGGACGACCTGAGTTCTAATAAAAATCACAGAGCCAATAGCAGTTCGTTTGAAGAGAATGTCTTCCTTTTGCTTTTGCAAATTTGATGGCTGGTATGATTCATGATTATCAGGATCGGTTGGATAATTCTTCCTACCTCTACCACCCTCAACCCGACAAAATATGCAAAGTCTTGCGGATGCGGCCTTAAACAATTAGCAACATGTAAAATGACCTTGTTATAAGAAAGAGTTTATTTGCACTCAAAAGTGTGCATGCATTCCTTAGTAGCGCAAACTAAAATCAAATTTCGAGTAGAAAAGGCTTTTTGAATAAGACCTTAAGCTGGAATGGAAATTGAAATCGGTCAGGTTTTATCCGGACTAGCAGCTTGGGCTTTTGCCTTTGTGGTAACCGAATAACGCTGCAAGATTTACAAACATTTAGAAATAGTCATATTCCGTCTCCTCGGAGAGTGCTAATGCTACCTATAGAATTCCACTACTCGTTGATGAACGGCTACGACCACTAATGAAACCCATTTGAACACTTCTGCCTTAATTTTCATTTCTCGGGCCCTGACAGCAGCCGTAGCGACTATTAGTCTAGGTAGATAGAATTGCTGACAAAGAAATAAAACACTGGAATGGCCATTCCTTGTTTATTAGCCGTCGTCAGCCAGTGATACACAACACCAAGTGCTGCACCACCCGAGGGTCGAACTCGCGACCTTTTCGGTCACAGTCCATCGATATAAGCCAGGGGCTCATTGTCGTGTCCGTTTTAGTGGGAAGATATTGACACTCGCTGTCATTCATTACTCCTACAACTCATGGTAAATTAACATCACTCGAACTGCGTATACGTTTCAATAAAATCATTATTGAGATAATTTACTAACCTATAGCCGACATTCTATAACAAAATATTATTTTGCTTTTCGTTAGCATATACGCGGTCAAAAACCAATTCTTTGATTTGTAAAAAAAGCAATCGCAAAACTGAACAAATAATTCGTAAATTTGACCCTTTGTTTTTGTAGGAGCCCATTTTCAACGAAACCGTCCGCTATCTCCGACTTCCAAAAAACATCTGCGATCGAGCCGTACGACCAGGGCGCCTACAAGCAGTTGTCGTTATAGTGAAATCTGGAATCTACAATTTTCACAATCGTCAACATCTGCGAGAGGCCTACCGTGGTCAAGTTAACAACAAGAACTCAGAAATTAACATGGTATTTTCAGTGGGACTTCCCAGGAAAGCTGGCGGTCGAGTGTTCAGTCGTGATGGTTTTGTGGTTAATCTTCCTGAGAGGGCGGGCAATGCGTTAGACTACTACCAAACGAGACCCCTTGAAGTCCTGACACGTTTGAAGCAAGAGGCCGAACTCAACCATGACCTCGTGATAGGTGACTATGAGGACACCTACTACAATCTGACTCTAAAAATGCTACACAGTTTCCAGTGGGCCTCGCGCTTATGCACGCCCCTGAAACCCACTTTTGTCTTTATGGATGACGACTTTGCTTTCAAAGTGGACAAGCTTAGACAGATAATCACTCACCGGAGTGAATCAACCCGAGGACGAATGGCGATCGGTGTTCTGCGGCGAGTCTCGGATACCATCCGCCATGGCAAGGCCACAGTGTATGAGAAGTGGTCCGTATCTAAACGCGAGGTCCCCTGGCCGCATCATGCACCACACACTAGTGGAGCCTTTTATATACTCGGCTATGAGATTGTCGAAGAGCTGGCTGCAGGAATGTACTTCACAGCGCCTCTCTCCTTGGATGACGTCTGGTTGGGCACGATTGCTACTAAGCTGGGCATCTCCTATGAGGAGGAGCCAGGCATGTATCAGTCCTTCAACCCTCAGTTACATCATCGCCAGAAAGCACTCTTTTTACCGTTTGAGGTCTTGTTCAGGAATCCATTGCGTTGGGTTTGGTGGATTTTTGAGCCAGTTTCCAAAGATACAGAAGTCTAGTTGTTCCCATAGGACTTTACGTACACTCTGCAGCACAAAAAATTAACATTTACTGCACTGGAACATTCTAATACAAATTGCAAGAGAAAACAAAACTGCATCATTCCTGAGAGAAGACACTGCGAGTTTGTTTTACTTGGTCGAGCGTTCCTCTACTTCCAGGCATGGCCGATCTTGGCATTATTTGCGAATTTACTTAGAATCATTAACGAATGCCTTACGACCAAGTGTCTGACGTGAATGCTAATGTACACAGCCATATATGACAAATACGGTGACAATTGAACACCTTCTTTGTGTTCGAACGTGTTGAAACAATTCTCATATTTTCGTAATACTGTGCGCTCAGCGCAATAACCAACCACCCCATCTTTTAGAACACTTTTTTTGGTTTTTGACCCAATACTAAATTAACGACTAACTTTCTCACTATTTCAAATGAAAGAATCTCGAATTGGCACTTACATTCACTGATAAAAATCGTATACTTAGCTGAATTTTGGTCAGTCGATGAGAAACGTTTGGTTGACTGCCGAAATGGATAAAAGAATATTTTGGTAAATATGTTTCATCCTTAGATCGAAAAAGTCAGAGTTCCGCATGGTATTTTAACTCGTCTTACCGTTATGACGTATTCAACACACATATAATGTTATGACGTAGGAAGTAGTATGCTACTTATAATTTTGCGGGCGTCAGAATGACGGTGATCGGATGATGTGTGTAACGCTCCCTATTATATTAGTCAAGCCTCCATGCATGCAAAATTTAGGACCCAGAGATAATGCTTCAAGCGAAGTTTAATCAGATGTTATGGAGGAATACTTCTGTACGTACCGATCTGGATCTTTAAGGAGTCTTGGAAGTGGTTTGTTTTCGTGCACCCTTTGAAGGAGTCACGGCCACTTGGCGTCGGCACGTTTTCTTCCTATGGTTTGAGTATAGCTGCTTAATTTCTGTTTTCCTCCTCTGTCTAGATTGTCCTGTCCCCTTTCACCTCTGAGCAGGTTATGTCGGCCGCAAAAGTCGGCGCTTAGCCAAAAGAATATGGGAAAACCTGCCAGCATGGCTGGATAGAGGTGAAGTCAGGAGCATTAACAGCGCTATTTTTGGCCTAATGTTTGATTCCGGACATTTTTAGACCCCAACAAAACCTTCCTGATGGTTTATAAGGTCCCATCAAACTATCCAAAGTCACTGGGTCAGCGCGAGCTAGCAACTGCAGAAGCGACCGCTATCAGTTTTAGGAAGCCGACGTTGTGTCCACAAAACAACGTCCTACAGGTTCCGCGTCTAGCATGCCCACTTTCACTTAATTGTATGTAGTCGTCTGCAATCTCCTTGTCTCCCTCCCCTCCTCCATGCTCCCCCTAAACTGGCTCCACCAAACCCTCCCCATGTAACCAGCCTTGTCTTCTCGACCCCGTGCCCCTATTCCCACGCCTCACTTGTACGAAAAGACGAACACCTTTTAACTTGTGCCCAATTCCCATACAAATGAACTGTCTAGACGAGAATTGATCGAAAGCCTATGTACGTTCGCACAACTAGCTTAGTGAAATCTCTGATCGGAATTTTCGAAATTTTGGAAATCCCCCGAGTACTGTGACGGCTCTTTATTTTAGCTGTGCCTGCCCCAGTGTTGAAGACTGTCTGATATTATATCCGTGCTCCACGCACGAACTTTGACCTGCCCAGTCGTTGCTAATTAGTTTTGACGCTTTCGAGATTAACCCTTGGTTGTCTCGCGTGACACTTTTCCCCTTTATGGCTGTCTTATCGTTGGTAAGTCAGCGTGCTTACTTGTCTGCCTCTCGTCAGTCAACGGACCGTTGGTGGCGGCATGTGTTGATGTTACTTTCGTGAGCGCGGCAATCAAAATGGTGTTCCATGCTTAGCAAGTGGTTTGTGGCCCTCCCTTCTATTTTCCTCGGACCTCAGTTGCCTGCATGCGTGATGTTCCTCGACTGTCCTGTCGGCTTTGGTCGAATTGACACTAGCTGTGTGCGTAACAGCTGGTACGCGGGATGAAGGTCTTTGATTCTGTTAATTTTGAAAGTCAAGTCAAGTTTATCAAAAGAAACATAGGCAAACGCCTTTGAACTCCCAATTGGTACATAGTATTTAAGGGTCGTTGACACAATTATAGGCGACTACTCGCTTGTTTCAAGTAATACACTCAAATGTGGTGAGG